CCTCCAGGTGCTGCTAATAAACCTTGCAATATTTTTTTTTTACAATTTGCTTCTATGGTACGAAGGCTTAGGCAAAGATAAGGAATGGGATACTAGTCTCTATCAAGACTGCTTTTAATTTCTTGCACCTTCCTCATACAAATGGCCCTTTTAATGATCTTGTGCAGGTGAAGTGGACAGAGAAGAGGAAGAACATTCTGAAACAATGCATACGGTGGAAAAAATATTTGTTCACTCTAAATATGTTGCAGAAACTTACGACAATGACATAGCCATAATAAAGCTGAAGGAACCTATAACATTTTCTGAGTATGTTATCCCAGCATGTCTTCCAGAAACAGACTTTGCTAATGAAGTTCTGATGAACCAGAAATCTGGGATGGTTAGTGGCTTCGGACGGGAGTTTGAAGGTGGACGACTATCCAAAAAACTGAAAGTGCTTCAAGTCCCCTATGTGGATAGGAACACTTGCAAGCAATCAACTAACTTTGAGATAACAGATAACATGTTCTGTGCTGGTTACGAGACGGAGCAAAAAGATGCTTGCCAAGGAGACAGTGGAGGCCCCCATGTAACCAAATATAAGGAGACTTACTTTATTACTGGAATTGTTAGCTGGGGAGAAGGATGTGCAAGGAAAGGCAAATACGGTATCTATACCAAACTGTCCAGGTTCCTACGCTGGGTAAAATGGGTCCTGAGACAAAAGATGTAGTGGCGCAATTATTGATCCTTTCTACAGGCTAACAAGGTGCAGTTGTACGATCTGTAATAGAAACTTCATCCTATTTTAGCACCTTTACTAAATTTGTTTGAGAGCTACTACTTTAAAGTTATGGTGCTGCTGCTTCTAACTTTATTCCTTGGCTTCCAGCATGTATATGTGAACTGTCAGTGTTGATTTGAATTTGTACAGTGAGGAGCTTTCCTAAAAAATGGCTGCTTGCTGGAAACTTGTGTTTGCTTATTCATTTTATTTTTCAAAACTTCAAATTGCAGCCAGTTGGTTCAATAGAGAATATGTGCTTATTAGAACTGTTTAGCTTAGCTGTCGATGTGTTGAGCAGATTAAGAGAGCACAGAAGCTTCCGTGGCAAAAGTTGAGCCTCAGGTAAGTATTCCACCTGTGATGCTGTCTCCCCGTTATGCTCTGCCGAAATACCCACCGACATCACTGCTGCTAATTAAAATACTGTTTCCCTTTATGTAGGCTATATTTCACTTTATTTTGAACACTTCTATTTTGTTTCTTCAGAAAAAAAACAAACATGCATATTCACTGTTTTCTCTATTATGTTTTGCATTGTGTATGGCTGAGGATGGGAGAGCTCCTTGCATGTATATTAGTTCTACATATTCCTGAAAGGTGCAATGTTGATGTACATCAGCATTTGAAATAAAACACTTTCTTTTTACTTTGTCGTTATTTTTTTTCCTTCAGTCTACTTAGAAATAAATGAGGCCAAGATCTTTTAAGAGTGAAAAAAAGGAAAAAAAAGTTTAAATGACCCTAACAGCTGCGTGTGATATATTTTGTCTGCATTATGTCATGACTAACAAGGAGGTGGAGAATGGAGGGGGTCTAAGGGTTCTTTTTGGCAAGTATGGAAGTCCTTTGGTGCAACCCCTTGCTGAAAGCCGGGCTGACATCAAAGTTAAATCAGGCTGTGCAGGGCCAGGTCCCCTCAAGGTTTGGAAATCTCCAGAGAGATAAAGATTGTGTGTGCCCTTTGGGTGACCTGTTCATATCCTTCAGCACCCTCACAGTTAAATTTTTTCTTATATCCAATTGGAATTTTCCTTATTGCAACTTTTGACATCTGCCTCTTGTTCTTTTGCTGTGCACCTCGAAGAAAATGTTTAACTCTGTCTTCGCTGTAATCCCCATTTAGGTAATGGAAGATGGAAATTAGATCCTGCAGCTCTCCTTGGCTGAACAAACCCCATTCCCTCAGCTGCTTCTATGTCATGTGTCCTTAACCACCTTGGTGGCCTTTCCAAGATTCCTCAGTCTAATATGCTCCCCTATTGCCTAAGGTAAACTGAACCTCACCAGTCCTCTGCGATGTGTCTCAGGGGGCTGGAAGTGGCACTGACTGGTACCTTTCAAAAAGGTGCTCTGAGCAAACCATGGTTGAGAGACTAGAAGACAACTCCACATAACTACTAGGTATTGCTGCAGTCAGCAGTAACTCATGCTTTGAAGGACTGCAGGTCAATGAGCTCAGTTTGATGATCTCCACCTGTGTAAATCCTCTGTGGAATTACCTAAATATTTATTCAGCAACGTTAGTTCACTGTGCACTGGATTCTCTGGAACCTCTGTGCACTGGAACCTCTGTGCACTGGATTCTGATTTCTATCTTTTGATCCTCTGTCCCACCTTCACCTCCATCAAGGTGAAACCTCCCTTTCCAAATGGACAAGCTTAGACTTAAGTGCTACCCAACCTCTATGTAAGTACTTGTGCTAAGAGTATTATTCTATCTCAGGACTTGCAGTCCTTGAGGACTGAGGTGAAACACAAGAGGGACAATGTGTCAAGGACTTGGTTGAGGCGAGAGCTCCCATCTTGAAAAGGTGGCTGTTGCTAGTTTTTACTAGCTAGTATGTGTTCTTGTCAACCCAAGCAGCACTTTGAAAGCAAGTACAGAGATGATTCAACCGATGGACATGCAAGGGAGACGAAAGTCATCTGTGTGCACAGCATGACTGTCCTGGGAAAGGAGGGGTCATTTAGCTCAAGTGTGGGCAAGAGCTGACAGCAACTAAGGGCTGTGGAAGGAGAAGCTTTGAGCTGGAGAAGAAAGGGAGGATGTTGAGCAAAAAGAGGTACTGGCTTAAGACTTAAGAAAGGACTAATACAAAGAATAAAAAGTTGTGATATTGCTCTGATCTAGCTCAGCATAATATATCTGGGCAAGAGATTCTTGCTCATCAGCATTAGGGTCACCTAACGCACACCTTGGCTACAGGAAGTTTCAGAGGAGATCTCAGGGGAAAAGCTAATGCTGTGATAGGAAAGCCCTCTGAATGGATTTTCTTTGAGGGGCTATGCTTGGGAGGAAAACCGAACAAGGTTTTCTCCCTCTTTACCCCTCCCTCATTCACAGAACTCACCTGACAGAATTGTCTGCTGCAGACAGGACCTCAGAGCACAGTTATCCCCATGAATTAGTGTGACCAAAGGAAGGGCCAACCAAAATACGGTGGAAAAAACAAAAACAAAAACAAGAAAGAGTGCATTTATGAAGGTACTGGCTGCCCTGCTGCTTGGGACAGAGACAGGAGTTACTGTTTGCAGAGGACCCAACCAGCATGCTGCATCTGCACAGGCCACCCGATCATCAATTTCACTGAAGTCAAAGACAGGGCTTTACACATGAGCATTGCAATCATCTGCTTTATTCTAGTTAAACACTTCACTCTCAATTCACAGTTCTTTGCAACAAATGGCACCAAAATCCTATATGATACCTGATGGCATCAGCACAGGAAAAAAAAAAAAAAAAAAAAAAAGCTGTCTTTTTTTTCTTCTTCTGGTCAGCTCTGCACTTTACTTGCTTCCTAAGGCACTACAAGGTTTGGAAGGAAGTCTGCCTGGAATATACTTAGCGACTGCAGCAAATGAGGTGCCCTGAGCTAGTTTTCTGTCCAACTTGCATCAGGCACAAAAGTTGCTTTGGCTTCCTTGGGACATGGTCAAGAGCCATAGAATATATTCCCACTCCTTTGGGGCTTTGCTCAGACAAGGTACATGCAAGCCACCAGGGTGGCATTGCCATAACATGATGGCCTTTCCCTTTTTAACATTGTCCTGCACTGGCATTGTGTGTGGGTTTTTCTCTTAGAAGTTGTGTTTTCTCATAAACTACTGACCTTTGTGCTGTAATGTTTGTCATTTAGCAGCTGCCCCAGAACCCTGCAGGGAAAAAGGTGAGAGACACTCGATGAGCTCAGAGGATGGCAATGGCAAGTCACTGTGGGATGGTGTGGCTTCTTCTCAGCGGCCTTCTTTTCCTTCAGACGGAGCAGACAGGTACAACCTTTGCTTTAACTTGGCTTTGTGCAACTCTGCCTAAACCTCACAGGTAATTATTAACATAATTTTATGATATTGCAGCAGACGGAGAAACATCTTTTTAAATGAAACTACAGTAATCCTGGTGCATGACTGGTTGTAAAACTATGCTAGTCAGCATTTCACTGTCAAATGGAAGAATATAAAGAGTACAGGGCTCCACAAAGGTGAGCATCAGGACCTTCGCTATTCAATATTTTTCAGTGACTTGAAAGACAAAAGGAAATGTTTACTCCCTGCACTTGTAGCTGATTTCAGACAGGAATTTTGGAAGACAAGATTAGAGTTCAACACAGTCTTCACAATCTTGTGAAACTGGAACAGAGATCCAACAAAAATAATAGGATCATAGAATCACTATGGTTGGAACAGACCTTCAAGAATACCAAGTCCAACCGTAAGACTTTCAACATCATGCCTGCTACGCTATGTCTCTAAGTAAGTGCCTTATCTACACGTTTCTTGGACACTGCCAGGAATGGTGACTCCACCACTTCCCTGGGCAGCCTGTTCCAATGTTTGACTACTCTTTCCATCTAGAAATTCTTCCTAATGTCGAACCTGAACCTCCCCTGGCACAACTTGAGGCCATTTCCTCTTCCTATCAGTAGTTATTCTGGAGAAGAGATCGACGCGCGCCTCACTACAACCTCCTTTCAGGTAGTTGTAGAGAGCGATAAGGTCTCTCCTGAGTCTTCTCCACACTAAATAACACCAGTTCCCTCAGCTGCTCCTCATAAGGTCTGTGCTCCAGCCCCTTCACCAGCTTCGCTGCCCTTCTTTGGACACGCTCCAGCAGCTCAGTGTGCATCTTGTAGTGAGGGGCCCAAAACTGAACACAATATTCCAGGTGCAGCCTCACCAGCACCAAGTACAGGGGAACGATCACTTCCCAAGTCCTGCGGGCTACACTGTTCCTGATACAAGCCAGGATGGCATTTGTATCAGGAACTGATACAAGAGCTTGTTTTGCTGAGATGCAATGTTGTGAGAAAAATGAATAAAAACAAAAAAAAACCCAAAAAACAAAAACAAAAAAAAGGAAAAGCATTTTACTCTCTGTCCTTCAGTGCATAATCAAGGAATTTTGTAAAAGAGGTAATTAAAGAAAAAGGAAAGGAACTAAGTGTTTTTGATTTTCAATGGCGCAAACAGCTAGGACAATAAGTCTTCAGATCACATTGCACTGGGGGAATCTCAAGTTAGATACTAGGGAACACTTTTCAGACAATACAAGGTCCATTAAAGAGAGAATGGGAGGATTGTGTAATCTCATCATGAATCTGCAACTAGTTAGGCAACGTGCCGTGTGCTCTAGGTGACCCTGCGTGTGCAGGGGGGTTGGACTAGATGATCTCTAGAGGTTCCTTCCAACCTTAACAATTCTATGATTCTATGATTCTATGATCTGTTAGGACTGATTCACTTTTGCTTGCCCTGCTAGACAGTGCGAGACCTCTCAGATTCTGACTGTGACCTTATGATGTTGAGGACTGAGCTGAGGAATATGAACCATGTGGCGATGGAGAGAAATAACTTGCGGATCTACCATTAGTCCAATCTTTTATTTATTACTGTTACTTTAGTTATGGCTTATTTGTTTTTCTCCTTTCAGTTTCTTCCCACCAGTGTTCATCTTTCTTTGCCTTAGTAAGACAGCCATTCTGGGAAGTACAGGTTATCTCTCTAGCTACAGCTTGGAAACTATCACCACATAAGAAGCAAAGTAATAGTGGTCTCCCTAACGTCAATGGCGTTTTTTTTAACAGTGATGTTCGGATTATTCTTATTATTAAGGCTTTGGACAGGAATTGCGGAGAATTTCACAAAGAAAGGGGTTTTGAGCAAAGTTTGCGAGCCAAGTTTTGTGAGATGTTTGTGCTTTTATTTATTTATTATTTATTTATTTATTTATGAAGCCAGCATGATTTTGCCTATAAATTTGTCTCCTTTCCAGTTATACCAAATGCATGCAAGATAAACAACGGTGACTGTGAACAGTTCTGCAAAGCTGACCACGACAGAGTGGTATGTTCCTGTGCTTATGGCTATGCTCTGGGCAATGACAACAAAACCTGTGTTGCTGCAGGTAGGTGTGAAGCCACATTTGAAGCTCCTTCTATGGGAAAGACAGAAGATCTTCACTGTATTTGGGATTGCTGGTCCATTGCAGGGCTGTCACTGCATAAGGAATAATACTAACTCGTCAGGTCTTTCACATTGTTTGCTGGAAATGTTGCCAAGAAAGAGAAGAAGGTCTTAACTAAAGGTCATAATTTAAGCAATATCAAATTGAGCAACTGTGAGAAATGTTGCAGTGGCAAAATTAGCACACAAAAGTGTACTCTGAAAATCAGTATGTTTTCAGAGCAGACAGTAAAACCCAGGTTCCATCTAGTATGAAGCCATGTGATAAACAAAAGATAACAAGTGGCCTGAGATTTCTCTTCTCTGGTAGTTTGAAGCAGGCCTTTCATGCACCTACAGATTTTTTTAGAAAGAAATGGATTGAGTTTCTCATTGGTGAAAACTGGTTTAAATTCAAAGTCTCCATAATGTGATGAAAACCTAGAGATCCAAATGAATGGGAGACCAAGAAAGTCCATCCATTCCAAGATACAGTCAAGAGAACTTAAAGTTTCAGAGCTGCTGATATAATTTGATTGCAGTTATATATCACTTGTTTTCCCTCAAGTATAACCTGTTCCATTTTAAAAGACTAAAACATACTTTTCTACCTTCTTTTAAAAGCTACATCTCCACTCAACATTCAGTAACCTAGTAAGTGAAAGAGTACAGATGCTAAATTTACACCTCATCAGTTTTTGCCTTCCTTTAGAGAAACTATGCCTTCAAAATATTAATTGTAATCTTCTATTGTGTCAGCCTGGTGTTATTTCCTGTATTGTCATAAATATGACAATAACATAACAAATTGTTGAATGAGTCCTATACTTCCTGACATAGAATCTTTTATTCAATTTCTCAATTACAAAGGTTTTACTAATAGCATATACATGAAAATAACAATGCCAATAACGGAAGATGCTTAATTTTATAATACTTAGAAAATTTTGTCTGGGACTGAATCCACAGAAAAGTTTTAGGACTAAAATGATATTTTCATTTTTTTAACCATTCTGATCCCCCTGCTTTATTGCATCTGCCAAGATGCTATTACTGTGTTGAAAATGTTTGGAGAAATTATCCTCATAGGGACACCTGTGTAACTGATTAGATTGCAAAAGGCTTCTATCAAGGAATTTCCACTGAACTCTTAAGTGAGTTTTCTCTCATTTTCATG